TTGTGTTCTTCATTCTGGGTATTTTTTCGTTTTTTTAACTACAATTTTAATCGTACATGATCTTTGCTCGTTGGGAAGTTGCTCTCTATTTTGGTGGGAGCTATGTGAATCTGATTATTTATCTGAAACTCTCTGGATAGAAAGATGGCCTACTCTTGCTTTGAGATTGAGTCTTATGACAACACAATGGATTGTAATAAGAATAACAACAACAAAAAAAAACTACAAAGTGAGGTCTGGGAAGTATAGAGTATACGCATACCTTATCCTTATCTTGTGTAGATAGAGAAACTATTTCTGAAGTCTTCGTTTTATGGAGATTGCTATATATGTATGTGGGTCTGATTATGTGGTGTAGATGGTGGCATTGGTGGAGGAGAGATGGGAGATATTGCTGAAGGAAGAAGTAGGGGAGGGGAGGAGGTAAAATGGTTGGGTGTGGTGAGGTGTCATGCCATGTGGCGTCCACCTCACCAGAATGCCGGTGCCATGTGGGATTGGGCTTTTGTACTGGACAGCTCTAACAGAGGAGGGGTATATGCGAAAAGTATAACGGTTTTGTAAAATTAAACCTTTTCACATAGTAGAGAGGTAAATTTAATCTTTTTTCTGTTAAAGTAAGTAGTATTATTTTAAGCTTGTGACTATGCTATTAACATTTGAATCCTCTAGTTAGATGTGCTATAGATGTTCTGTATACTACTTGCATACAAGAGTTGTTCCCAACATTAATATAGTATTGGCTGAACACATACGAAGACACTTAAAGTTCGCACGATTTTTCATTTAGACACTTAAACTTAAGGGGGTTCCTATTAAGCACTTACACTACTCGAAAACTTATTCCAATTAAGCATTTCTTATTGAGTTGGCACATAGAGAGAGTTTCACCCAATATAAGAGCGTGAAAAGCCCAAAAAATAGATTTTTGTTTCTTTTTTCTTTTCTTCTTCTTCTTCTTCTTCTTCTTCTTCTTCTTCTTCTTCTTCTTCTTCTTCTTCTTTCTCCCCCCACAATTTCCACTATTGCCTCTCCACTTTCACCATTGTTGTGCCTCCAGCATTGATTTAGCTCGAAAGTTTGAACCAATAATTATCTCTATTGATTAAAATTGAAGTTTGTGTTCTTCATTTCAAATCGAAACACCATTAATGGAGTCTTTAGAAAGCTTAAAAGTTTAAAATGGGTTACTTGATTAGTTTGAGAAATTAATGTTGAGGCTATATTCGTGTCGTCGTGGGGAATCTTTTGATGAAGTTATAACAAATTTGGAAGAGTTTCTCTTAAAAGTTTGGATTAAAATCGTGGTTAAAACAAGAACACATATGAAGATAGTGAAGAACACCAAGAACACTGATTTCTAGAATACCAATGTGTCATTGTTTTTAATGTGTTCTTTCGTGATTGGGTGTATATTAAGTTTTCTTTCCTTTTTGAGAATGTTATTTTTATTTTGCTTATTAAATAGATTTAACATAGTTTTTTCCTTTTTTTTTTTAAACTCAAAAAGATATATGTCCTCATTTTATTCATCATTTTTCACGTCAGCAGCGAGTGTATTGCACACACTTTGTAAGTTTGGCTAATTGTCAAAATAGTGTCTAAGTGGAACAAAGATCGTGTAGTGTACGTGCTCTTTAGGAATACTCCTGAAGGTCTGAGGTGGATTGTGAAATCAGTTGTATTGTTCCCATCAGAGAAGTTACTGCAAAATAAACTGTAGCCATATATCTCCCTACTTCTGCAAAGAACTATCAAGATTTGTGAATGGAGATATTTGCAGAAAGTTGGCACTCAAAAATGCTAAGTATATCAAGTGGTGCTCATTAATTTGTTGAATACTTCCTGATAATCTTGTTGAAGTCAACAGTCAACTATTGCACACTGGAAAGTGGAAACAATAAAGTTAGATATATAGCAGGGAGTAATACAATATCAAAATCAAAACAAATTGTTTGTTTTTTCTGAAATTTCCTAGATGTGGACAGTCACTCTTTCTTCGTTTTCATTTTTTTTATTTATTTTAAAAGCTGAAGACTTGAGATTTGAGAATCCTACCTACCAAGGTCTTAAATTTAAATACCAAATATGAAGCAAAGATGCAACACATATAGGTTTATCACATACTTTCTGATACGTTTCCATTGTTCAATAACTTTCCCCATAAAAGAAAAATGGGTGTTCACACACCACACCTTTTATTTTAATAATTATTCTAACGCATCAACTTGTTTTCACTAACAGCTTGTTTGGATGGTTGTCTATTATATTGTATCGTATTGTTGTTACTTAAATTTTATTATATCGTATCATTAAATTCATCATTTCGTAACAACGAAAAGTGCGTCGTTACATTGCTTTTTCTCTCATCTTGTCCTTCCTTATTATTAAATAATTATATTTTACGGCAAATGCTCAAATATACTCCTGTACTTTCAAAATGGTCTAAGAATACCCCTCGTTATACTATTGGATTATCTATACCCCTGCAGTCATACTTTGGGTTGAAATATACCCCTCATTTAAATGAAGGGACACGTGTCATCGTCCTGTTGGCCAATTCTAAATATCTCCTAATTAATTAAAAAGACCAATTACCCATACCCGAAAAGTAATTTTCTAAAACAATTTATTTTTTGTAAAAACTGAAAAAAATGAAAATAATTTTTTTCCAGTTTTTACAAAAACACTGCTTTAAAAAAACTGAAAAATATTTTCTAAAACAATATTTTTGTAAAAACTGAAAAACAAAAATGAAAAGTAATTTTCTAAAGCAATATTTTTGTAAAAACTGGAAAAACTGAATGTTTTTTTACTAAAAACTAAAAAACCGAAAATAATTTTTTTTCAGTTTTTAGAAAAATATTGCCTTAAAAAAAACTGAAAAGCAATATTTTTGTAAAAAGTGAAAAAACAAATATTTTCTTTTTCAATATTTAGATTAAAAAAATTCAGTTTTTTCTAGTTTTTAATTTCTTTAGAAAATTATTTTTTAGTTTTTGTAGTTTCAATTTTTACATAAACATTGTTTTAGAAATTATTTTTCAGCTTTTTTTAAAAGCAGTTTTTTGTAAAAACTGGAAAAAAAAAATATTTTCGTTTTTTTTCAGTTTTTAGTAAAAAAAAAAAGTAAAATTCAGTTTTTTCTAGTTTTTACGAAAAAACAATTGCTTTAGAAAATTATTTTTCGGGTATGGATAATGGGTCTTTTTAATTAATTAGGAGATATTTAGAATTGACCAACTGTCATACCTCCTCTTTCCCGAGGGATATGTGGGGAGTTTTTCCAATTTAAGTGACACTAATCGAAATGAGATTATTTATTTAATTTCAGAGTCGCCACTTGGGATATTTTTATGGTGTCCCAAGTCACCGGTTTATTTTAGAATCCCAAATCGAGGAAAATGACTCTATTTTTGGTCTGCGAACACAAAAGACCGGGTAAGGAATTCTGTTAACTCGGGAGAAGGTGTTAAGCATTCCCGAGTTCCGTAATTTTAGCACGGTCGCTTTAATCATACCTGGCTTAATTAAATTATTTAATTACGTATTTTAGAACCTATGTGCATTTTACCTTTTACCGCTTTTAATTGCTTGATTATTCGTGATTATGAAATTATCTTGAAACGAGTCACGCGTACGTGTACTCTTTTTATTTGGCGTGTCAAAAATCATATCACATGTACGTGTACACAATTCACAACACTTATTTATTATTAAGATTGTTTGGCCAAAGTCGCGCGAACGCGTACTTCGATTTTAACTTTGAGAATCAGAATTATGTCACGCGAACGTATACATAATCGCGATAGATTAATTAAAAGCGCGCCTATAACGATTGATTGTTACGAGGCCACAATTTTATGGGTGAATAAAGTATTTTGGAGATATTAAATTTTTAGAGCATGGTAATCACTTAAAACCCAGTTTTTTTTTTTCAGTTTCTTTTTATATCCAAAACCCCGCGGCACATTGGGTTAAGATAAACATCCAACTTTCCTAGGGAAATAATTTGGACCTTAAATCCCAAACGGGTTTTGAATCAGCCTTCGGACCGGAGCTTGATCAACGACCTCAATGGCACCTCAACGAACCCAACAACCTCGACGAATGCTTATTTCGGCAGGGCTCGAATTTTCGAAGTAAAATCAGCAACTTGGACCAATTTTCTAGTCCATGAGTGTGCTTCAACCTTAAGACCTTTACACTGACGAAACAAATTTCAACATTTTCAAACTCAACAACTGGACGAAGCCATGAACTGGAATCTTTCAAAAGATCGGAGCTCGACCGGAAAGTGTCACTTGAGTTGTTTCTGTTGGCCTAGATCTGAACACCCAAACCCTCGAGCTGATTTGAGATTTAAGACTAGTGGCTTCGATATAGGAAGTTAGTAGCTATTCGATGATGAAAAAATGATGAAGCTAAAAGATTGGGGTAGAGAGCTTGACGATTAAAGGTGTTTTACATGGTTATGGAGTTTATTGGTATTGGGTTTTTGAATCCATTATTGATTGGTATAACAAAGATGCGGGATGGTGATTTTGAAATTGGAGCTTGGGAATTTTTGGAATCCCTTTGTTTTTCCTCTATTCTTGCCCTGTCCCCCTCTGTTCCTCTCGTCCCATATCCTCTTTCTTTTCTTTTCTTTTTTTTGTCCCTTTGCGGGACACATGTACGCCTGGATCTGAACGCATATGAGTTGAACGCATATGAGTTTGTCACAAAAGAAAAAGAATTTTGTCACATAAAATGATTAATTGGATCTTGCTTTAATTAATATTTTGTTTTTTTAAGTATAAAATAAAAATATTAGCTAAATATGGGTATATTTGAACCTTCGCCGTATATTTTATCATTTATCTTACTTTTTATATAATAATTCTAATCTGTATTCTATTTTTTTTTAAGTAATATTACAAGTTTATTTTTTATATTGTTGGTGCATGATATCACGAAACGACGTCAAACGATACAAATATTATATTAATCAAATAATATAATGCAGTACAATACAATACGATATATTATGAAACTAAATGTAATAACAATCCAAACAAGCCGTAAAGAGTAGTTAAATTAAAAGATATGACAACGTTTTGTAGGAGATAACTACATCTCCTCCGTGAGTCACACCGGCAGAAGTTTTATCACCGGCGAGCAAGTCTGGTCACCGGTGCCGTCCTCGACCTTAAAAATTAAAATATTCATCAAAGATTAGCCACTGAAGAGTGAAGACAATCCAAGGCCGTGCGATTGAATTGAATTTATTGGCTACACCATTGTTCTGTAAAATTTCTTTTTTCTTCTTTCTAGTTCAGAGAAAACAAAGACTTGGACCTCTCATAACTTCTGTGTCTTAACAGAAAAACATCCACCTATTCTTCCCAGATTCTCCCTGTACAAATGGCCATTACAAGTGAGTCTCGAGTAAGTGTAAAGTAAAAAAACATTGAGAGATTATCAGAGTTAAAAACTCACTATAACACATACAATTACTTTAAAGATATTTAACATTTCTAACTTCAACCATCCACCTATTCTTCAAAAGGGTTGTCGTCTTTCACCAAATGTCCCAACAATTCGAATTTAGACTTCATTTTGCCATTTAATTCAACTATAATGTACACAATTAATGTAGTCTAAGAGCACATGCAGTTTAATGCTAAGTTAAATTGAGAGAAGCCGTTGAAAATGAATAAAATGAATATGGATTATCTCATTTCTATTTTAATTAAAAGGTGAAACGCGCAGTTCATCAGAATTCAAACTTATAATGGACGTTGAAGAATCATATAATTCAGAAATACTTCACTTACATTTAATGGTGTCAAAGGCATAAACTTTAAGCATGTTATTCCCCAAACTCTCCAATTGCTCTTTCTGGATCAGCTCAGCAGAATTCACAAGGGAAGGAGAACATTGATGTAACTCAATTAGCTGCAGTGTCATACTATCTGCAAATTCTTGGGGAATCTCTATTAAAAACCTGCAATTTCTTATAATTATACGCTCAAGGCATGGGAAACAATCATCAGTGGCTCTCCAATATTTAATATTCAACTGCTCGAGGAGCAGGAATTTCAATTTAGGAAATTGCATCTCTGTTACTTTCCAGCCGATGTTTGGTACAAAGGCATTATTCCTCAACTGGAGTACCTCGAGTTTGGGCAGCATGCTAACGATTGTCATGTCCTTCCACAGTAAAAATGTGCAGCAAAGTGTCAGCTTCTTGAGATTTGGTGGAAAGGAACCTGGACATGGAAGACTAAGAAACGTATTAGAATTGAATTTTCTGTATGATACAATAGTTAGTGCCTCAAGCTCATGTAAATCCATTAGATTCTCGAGGCATCTAGGCTCACTATTAAAATCATCTTTAGTTCCATAAATCCCCAATTTTTTCACTTTCTTAATCCCTTCAAATATTTCTTTTGTGCAACAACCAGGAATCAGCCCACAAACACTTTGCAAGTTTTCCAACGCCCGGTACTTAACTTCATTATCTGATACCATTGGAGGAGGAGAATATAAATACATCCTTGTAGACCGAAGATGCCTCAACTGAGACATTTCCCAAATTTCACTTGGCAAATATATGACTTCTTGGTATTCTGGCATATTTTGAGGAAAAATAAAAGTTTGTAAATTCATAAGATTGAAAATTGGTAGATCTTGAGGACTCCTAGAAACCTTCACAGACAAATACCTTAAAGCAACTAGGTGTACTACTTCACTAGGGAATTCATACCAACTTTTCTCCAATTGCAATACTCTAAGACGTTTGAAATGGTCTAGTCCTAATTTAGAACGAGAATGCTCGGTTATGTAGGAATAAACCAGAAGAGAACGTGTTTTTCTACAATTAAAATGAATTGGAGAAAACCTACCGTCCTTTGGATAAACTGACACCCACCGACGAACTTGAGAGGAAACCTTTCTAGATCCTTCATATGTACTCACCGGCGTTTCTGTAACATACAAGAGATTCTCGTTTTCAGCCTCTCTCAAGCAAAAATCGTGCAGAAGATCATGAATCCTACATGTCTTGATTTTGTCATTCAAACTTCGCTTACCAACAACAACTAGACTTTTATCAATAAGATTACTTAAAAGACTAGTAGCCACTTTTTCCAATCCCTCAAACCCCTTCAGCTCCAGGAATCCTTCGGCAACCCATAATCTAATCAACTTCTTCACAGAAATCTCACTTGCTTTCGGAAAAACTCCAAAATACAGAAAGCAAGCTTTCAAATGAGACGGAAGATGATTGTAGCTCAAAGCGAGCACTCTTGAGCAGCGTTGATAATCATCAAGATTTACTAACAAACTCACACTTTGAGCTACTTTCCTCCACTCATCCACTGTCCTCTTGCTAGATAGAGCCCCTGCAACCACAGAAATCATCAGTGGTAATCCATTGCAATTTTTCACAACTTCCCTTGCAATATTCTCAAATTCAATTGGACAGACTTTTTGGTCAAATGCCTTTTGGCAAAATAAAGTCCAACTTTCCTCTGGCTTCAGGAAACGCATTGGAGAAGGATCCCTAGGATAGCTAGCATATTGAGCAACCTTAATGTCTCGAGTAGTCAATAATATCCGACTTCTATTATTGTATTCTGGAAACCATAGCCTAAACTCATCCCAAGCTTCTGTGCTCCATATGTCATCCACAACAATCAAATACCTCCTACCTTTTAAACTTTTTTGCAAGCGATCTGCTAGTTCTCCATCGCTTTTCTGCATGCGATTTGCTAGTTGTACATCACTTATCTTCTTTTTCTTCTTCTTCAAGTTACCTTCTTCTTCTTGTCCTCCTCCTCCTCCTCCTCCTCCTTCTCCTTCTTCTTCTTCTTCTTCACTGTGTTCTCCAATATCGCTTTTCTTATCAAGCTCCGCATTTACCCCAACATCTTGAAGGAGGGATAGAAGCATCTTTCTTAAATTGTAGTCCTCGGATACAGTAACCCATCCACGAACATCAAAGAAGCTCACAATTGAGGGATCATTAAACATTCTTTTG